ATCTCTACTTTCTTCAAAAGAGTGAGAAGACAAGGAACTATCAAATTGTGTAAATTGAGCAGAACGTATGCGGGCATTGAAGTCTCCAACAAGAAAAACTTCACCTTTGTCTTGATATTTGAGAACATCTCCTATGAGCCGATGGAATGGTTGACTTCGATTGCAAGTGCTTGTGAAGTCGATATGCATGGATAATGGTGCAAAGTAACAAACTGACAAATAACTGTAAGATACTCCCATCAATCCAAAACAAAGCCAATGATATTGTTTCCCAATATCTTGGCTTTCCAAATGTATCATAGGTTGAAGTTCAGATCTGATGAAAGTAGCAATGCCTCCAAAGCCTCTTCCTGCTCGTCGATTTCTATGGTTCCAAGTAGATCCCACCAGAGTAAACCCTTGTATCTCTCCAATAACATTGCTTTCATGCTCCCAAGTCTCAACAATGTTGAGAATGTCCGCCATCTTCCAAATCGGATGTGCACACACATACTTAGTTGTAGATATGACTCTTATGTTCCACATCAACACACTCAACCTTTTGGATTGCTAGGTTGATAATTGTCTCCTCCTCTTAGTGATAATAGCTTGACTATCACGTAGATAAGCTACAAAACCTGCATCTTGAGCTTCTTTGACTTTTGCAAGCTCCTTCCTCCTTGCTTCAACTTGAAGAGGTGTAAAATCCGGATCTAATCAAATCCTACGTCCCTTGAGAATGACCTTGTTAGCTAAAGCCATATCACGTTGAGCTTGATCCACAAACTTAACAATAATGGCACGAGGTTGTGCGACTTTGTTGCCAATACGATAAGCTTGAGCCAAATCTGAATTAGTAACATCAAGTGTTTCAGTCAAGAAGTTGGTGACCACACTCTTCACCTCTTCCTTCTCAGATTCAAGAAGACCAGAAATCCTCACATTCTTCATACGAGCAAATTGATTAGCCTTTTCAATCTTTTGCTCTTGACAGAAAGAGATATGAGCAGACTTGGTAGCTTCAGCATAGGACTTCATTTTCACCACTAGAGTTTCAACCACTTCATGCAAAGCAGGAGTAGTAACAGTAGAAGCTTGAGAACCAACCTTGTCTTTGATGTCCTCAACAGATCGGGAGATTTGGAGCATGATCTTCTCCAAACTTTTGTGAGAAATCTTCAATTCCCGGATTTCATTCTTTGCAGCAGCCAAGGCAACATTTTGTGCCTTGAATTCTTGGTGCAGCATTTTCAATTCTTCCAAAACCGTTTGCACGAGATTGAGAAGTTTGTTTTTAGAATCCATCTTGAACCTAACTTTGCAAGATGTTACACAAACTCAAAGTTTCGAAATGAAAACTTCTTGACACCAGCACTGTTGAGGCTGAAAATTTTTAAGTATGTGCGCCCCGCCGTCGTTAACAAGCCCACCAAATCTCAACTCCTGTTGACACTCCAGCAAGAAGATATGGCCCCCACAAAATTCATGCTCAAACCCCTAAACTCAAAGTTTCGAAATGACAACTTCTTGACAGCAGCTCCGTTGAGGCTGAAAATTTGCAAGTATGTGCGCCCGGCTGTCTTTAACAAGATTATCAAATCTCAGCTCCTGTTGACACTCCAGCAAGAAGATATGGCCCCCGCAAGATTCATGCTCAAACCCCTAAACTCAAAGTTTCGAAATAACAACTTCTTGACAGCAGCTCCGTTTGAGACTGAAAATTTTTCCTAGCACTAAGATGCCCAAGCATGGTTATTTCAGACAACTGTATACTAAGGCGCCTAAATTATCTAAATTGATGCTCCCTCCAACTTCTAAATTAACCAAAGCATATAGATTGTGATCGGTTGAGAATTGAAGCGTGGAAAATCTCAGCCAATAAGTTGTGATGATTGTTAACTTGTTTGTAAACATCTCAATCTCATAATTCATTTAGATCATAATCTGCAGTTTGTAAACTACTTTTTCTCTCGTCCACGAGACTCACAACCGATCTGCAACCCACGAGTGATGTTGACTCTTTCTCGAATCCCTCATTCGCTTTCAAATTACCTAAATTAACTTTCTCGATACGATTAGATTAAACTAATTTAGGTGATTTAAGCAACATATTAATATAACCATGCATGGATATGCTCCATCCATCAAATCAAGAGATGTCATCCATGTCATTAAGAGCAAAATCTATGGTGCTTCCGTCTTTATTTTGTGACCTTCTCATGTTATCTCACGCTCTTGACTTCATCACCAAGTTTTCAAAGAAAAGTGCAAGCTTTATTCATAAAATTATGTACAAACTCATAAATACTCACACTATAAGTATTATTATATATGTACAAGAACATGTTTTAGAACTTAGCAATGGTATATTGTAATTACAAGTCAAATTCTAAAACCTGGTCGTCGGTGTTTAAAACAAAACTTGATGAGTCCGAGTAAATAATTTGTGTTACTATGGATTATCATCAAGTAATTTTTTACCGAGCATGTGATAAATCTTTTAAGATCACAACATCCCCTCTAATTTTGTAAAGATGACTAAAAGCATGATTTGAGATCTGACTCGTCTTTATTCCCCAAGTCTACTTTGGCGAGATTGTTGATCTCACCCTTGATCTGGTGGAATATTTTGTGACGGCGACACTACTGCTGCCATGTCTAACCAGATGGCTTAACAAGAATTATAATTCAAAATCTGTATCAACCATGAAAAATAACTTTCTGTTTGTTTTCAGGACTCAAAGTGCCCACCTATATACATAAATGACCTGAAACCCACGAAATAGATACATTTTTTGAGATGATAACATCTAGGTGTAAATTTATGTAGGACTGATGCGCAACATTTGTTGTTTTATCTAAACTACTATGGAAGACAAGACAGCCCTCTAATTGTGTGCTTATGTTCAAGCAATAAAGGTGTGGATACTTGCAACAAATCGCAATGATTGCAAAGACATTTAGACAGAAGCGGAACTTCGTCTTGAAATTTCGTCGTTATTTGTTTTCAATCTAAAGGGCTTCACGCTCTTTTAGTATCAATTCAACACTTTGCTCTTATTTTGTCCTACGACCTTCCTAGTGGTTGTACTCATCAAGTATTGTGTGAGGCTTGAGGGTATCGCACCTGTGTACTTCTTTTTGTACAAATTGTACTATAATCATTGGGTAATGAATGAAAACGGTATGACACTCTCTATCAGTTCCACCACGAACATTCTCATGCGTGGCCAACGTAATACGTATTGGGAACATTCGATACGAAAGGTGAAGACAATTTTCATTACGTAATGAATATATTGAATCGTAGAGACGTACGGAAGCATATACATCAAATTCTGTTCATAAATATGATTTTCAAAAATGTAACATTTCAAGTGATTATTCATGTCAAGTGTTTCATTTAATATTGAGTTATTATAATTGATTTAAGTACAGTAAATTAGACTAGGGAGGTGAATACGATATAAAGTAGTTGGTAAAATAGAAGTACTCTTGAATATTTTTTTGGTTATTCATCTCTCTTGTATAGGACCAGAAAATGAACATGATCATGCATTTTAATAGGCTTCACTACATCTAGAACCATTATTCATATCTCTTCAAGATGTAGCTCGTGGTAATCAACTTGAATTTCATGAGTTTATACTGCATTAGTCTTCGGTCGAGTGCATAGACTAGCAACGAACGAGTTCATGGACCAGATTTTTATAAGTATATCAAGAGCATATTCTTTTCTCCTTGGTATCGGAAATGTAAATATATTTTCGTCTACACCAGCTTCCCCTACGACACTCTTTTTGAGAATGATTCAAAGGTTGTTCCTTGTAGAACATTCGTATGTGTGTTCTGCATATACTAATCACATCAAAAATAACTATAAAAAACCAAATAAACAAAAATGAAATCTAATACATATCTCCATAAAATTTTAATTGTGACTTCACCTATAATAATATAATATACAAGATTAGACTAAAATGTCTAATCTTGTATATTAGACACAATGTATAATCCACTAAAGTCCTTAAAATATTATGGGTTCTTGCATTATCTACAAACCGGTTTTAAAAACTGAAACATAAAGAGTTCTCGAAGTCCTCGAAGCCTTACGTCTGCTAATAGTGCTGTTAGGCATAGACATTAATGGCAATTCTAGTTCCAATGGTGCTGATTGCGCAGTAGTCTCTAACGCTGTATCTGATCTAAACATGCGTATCGACATACTTCTGTGAATACTAGACTATTCGTGAGAGGTACAAGAGATACTGTTTATGGTTGTCCATTTGTTAGGCCGTCCATTTCGTCATGATCATCAGTTTCCTCCTCTATCCACAATTCTGATGCTCCTCAAGGCGTTTCCTGTGCCAGTAGCTCGAGATAGCAGCAGACTGCGGCATGAACTGAATCAAGATCGGGATGGGTACTCAGAAGTCCCGAACTTGAGTCCAGCTGCAAAATGACTCATTGGAAACAGATGCTGTCTTGCTTCTTGAACAAAGTGTCTGAGTCTCTCTGGCTTCATCGGTGATTATAAGACATACGTGCTTCAGACGTGTCTTGTACGCTGAGCACGTGCTAACATTTTAATTTAGCTATCCTTTTGGCAACTTTCCGCAGTCTTCTCACTCTCGAAAGATATCATGAAGATCCGGTTACGTGCAAGAAATTTGAACTAAATTTCAACAGTCCATACGTTTTCTTCTCCTTTCCCCATAGACATCGAAAATTGCACTGTCTTGTAAGTGTGCTTTAGAAAGATGCACTAAGACTATATTTACGATCAAGTCTGGGTGAAATTAACTTTCACCCCCGACAGCGAAGTTGAAACTTTAGTGCGTTTCTCCACCCCTGTTTATATCTTCGACAAGCATGGGGAATGCGCCACCCTCCTCGTCTTATGGCAATGATTTGGTGATGTATGATTCAGAAGACTCAAAAGGGGCTGAACGGAAAACATTGCTCATACCAACACAAAGCTACAAACGTTGCCATATCATTTCTGTCTTCTGGATATGATGCCTGGAAGAAGGCCTCACTAATGCCAAGGCCATGGAAGATGTGAAGTGTAGAGACATCAGGTCAGAGACAAGGTGTGACTAGATGAGAAATTATCGTCGAACTCATAAATACTACCTGAGCCCTTCAAAGGTCCAGTTAATTATAAAGTTGTGCTGTAATCAGCAGTTTCTGCAATCTATAGTGATAGTTCAGTTCACAGACCTTGTTCCTACATGTGTGCAGGCTTATTGAAGCATTCTGTGAGTCAGAGTCATATTTTACTACAAACTTTTCGAATAGTTCCTTCAGAACCTGTGAGGACATTAATTTGGCCCATCTTCACCATGGCTAAGCCGAACTCGTCGAAGAAAGGCACTGTCGTAAACTCGCCCAAATCCCTCACAAGAGCATCGGCGAAGGGGGTCGTCAGCAGAGCGCTGTCCGAGACGAATGCCGTTTCGCCATCCACAACTCGGTCGTAATAGTTGCTGTCGAAGAAGTTTCCTCCGACGCTTGAGTCCAGAGGAACTTCCGTCTGACTGTCAGGTTGGTCGAACGGACACAGCGCCTTGAGCTTGGCCACATGTGATGCCTTGAGAGCTGGGTCGGTCAGCACTGTCGATGAGAAAGCCCATATGCGAGGCCAAATCACGGTGCAATGTGTGACTCCAAATGTGTGCGCCCCTGTCGAGAAAGGCAAAGGAAAGACAATCTCTTAAAACAAGCAGCGGATTTAATGTTCCATCACATTTCATGCAAACCAATACACGGCCTTCGTAGCTGCTCGAAGACCTTTACCTTCTTATGGAATTCCCTCTGCATTAGATAAACCTCCACATCCTATACACGAAGTTGGGGATATGAATTCACCTTGTGAACATGTATGATGCACGAGTTCTGAACCCGTCATAATCGACTACGGTTGATGTCTAAGGTGAATGCGATAATTTCGAGCATCTGTCACAACGATCGCCTGCCTCCCAACTAGAAACGGCAGTCCGAGGATTGCTATACAGTTGGAGCTGCACTCTCTTCAAGAATCTGACCCGTAGTTGGGATTAAATACCTGACAGAACCACCATGTCCTTCTCAGAGAGCCCCTGGTTAGCGAAGCTCGTCACGAGCTGTGTGTAATTGAGGAAAGGGCTGGGAAGGTTTGCATCAGCTTCAGCTGCAATGGACACAACGCCGTCTTTACGCCCGAGCTGAACCGGGAAGTAAATACCCCTCGACTGCACAATCCAGAGCATCGTTAATCTTGAGATCGTTTCATATTTGAGAAAAACATGGAATCTAGCAGCAGTACAGTCCTAAATACAACTTCTCGTGTCGCCTGCTGAAGAGACGTGATGGAATTCGTCTGAGCTGGGGTGGTGATGGCGAGGAGCTCGGATGGAGTTCGAAGTACACTCGTACTTCGAAACTGTCAGCTTGTAAGCGCATGATGAACGTACCATTTGTAGTATATTGCGGGCGGCGAGAGCAATGATGTCAGCGCAGGAAACGATACCAGGACAGTCTGCTTCCACCTTTGATTTCGCTTTGGCTATGACATCGAAACCCTTGATCGAATTTAGATTTGCACGAGATCCGATTTCTGCCACATTGCCCGCTGTTGATTCTATCAATATCGATGCGTCACACCCCTGCGAGCACGCACGCAGTTCTAAGCACGGACACCCATCACTCACCAAGAATGGTCATAGTAACTGCACTTGAAGACCTTTCATACATGGAAATTCGGTCTAGTTTTCAACTCCCATTTCTCTGATTCCTCACTCGAGGAAGTTTGGATCTGAAGAAACTCATCTGATCCTGCTTTGCAAGGATCTCGTCGTCAGTCCTCAAATCGGATGAGTTGTTACAGCTCTGCATGCCTCGGGCCTCTTCTCTCATGATCAGCTTTCAGAGCTCAGCTTTCTCTCAGAGGATAAACATCAGTAGCCACGATCTTGCTCTGTGCTTTGGTGACTAATTGTGCAGATTAGCAGATTGTGCATCTAAGAAAATGCATTTCGTGAAGTGAACCTCTTCAGCCTGCAAAGGTTGATTCTGATTCTATGCCGGAGAGCACAAGAAAAAACAGATTGTGTTGCTACATTGGATCTTGATGCGGAAATCACATACGTTTACATTTACTTTCGCCTGCATGTTGTAACGTTATCTTTGCATCTATTCAGCAGACTGGTTCTCAGGTTGAATCAACCTACCCTCACGAAACAATCATGGAAGAACAGTCGAACGAGCTGTGCCGGTAGATTTTTGTTGAGAGCCAGTTGTTGGACTAAAACGTTCCAGACATCGATTTTCGCCAGTGGACAAGTTGTGTCGTAATATCCCTCAGACAAGTGCGGATGGGTGGGATAAACGACTGCTCGTGCAATTCTCGGAAGCAAACCCGTTGCAAGGAGGGTCATCACAAGCCAAGAACTCCATACGGCACATGCCTTTGCCATTGTTGTTTTCTCTGCCTGCAGTAAGAACTCGATTTCAAGACGATGAAGACAACTCAGAAAAAAAGAAGATGATGCGTGCAATTTGATCACAACCAGCCTTTATAAAAGCTAAATCTACTGCATTTTATTTCAACCGATTGAAGCACTGCAGGAATAGCTGTAAATTATCAACTTGGATGCTTGACTCCGTGAACATCATCTCCTTGCCACGTCTTTAGATATAGTCAATTATAGTTGATGGCATCAACCAGTAAGAATATTAACCATCAACCATCAACTAGTATGAATACTTGCTTCAGGTGGCTTGAGGTCCAACAATCGTTGCCACGGCCATGTTTGCCTTTGAACAAACCTTTGCGAAATTCTTTCGACCGAATGAAATCCACCACTGCTAGCAGCGCACAGTCAGTCGACAGAAGAAGCCGCACTTCTGGTTGATGCTTCGGATGGAATTTATATGTGTCGGGGTTGCAAGCTAACTTTGAGAATGTGGAACACGTTGACTGTGTCTGAATAAAATGTCTTCAGTGTTCACTGTTCAAGACAGGTCATGATTGACGATACCGACGCTTCTTTTTATCGTGAAACCTCATTACAATGTAACACTTCCCAACAAGCGCTGTCGAATCCAAAGGTTTTCAGACTGGTCTTTGGTGTGCTCGAGGTCACGTTGAAAACTTCGAAGATCTGGTGTGGTAAGTTGCGACGAGACCAAGTCTAAGAATTGATCTTTACTAAAAAGTGCGTCAATCATCATGTACAGTCGAAGTTTGGCCAAGCTTTTTGTTTGCTCCGAGGTGAAACATTTGACGAATCCTCTTCGTACGACGAACTAATTCTATATCATTAGCTATTGCAACTGCATGTCCAGAACAGATATTACTGATGCATGCTTGTCCATCCAGCAAGTTACCAGCAAAATATCCGAGTGTTAAAAATTTGTGTATTTAAGCGCTACATATACTTTCTGACAGAGTGTGATCCTGTCCCTCAGATCTTTCAGGACGTTGTACTGCCCTATAAATCTTCTCCTTAAGCTTTGAGAATCTTTGGAGTATTCTTACCTTCTTAGTTCAAATCCTCATAGACATTGACTGATTACGCATACTTGCCCAATAACTGGTTCGGACCAATTTTGATTTTGATACTTTGTTTCATCCTCAAACGCTTTGACTTCCTTTCGAAAGTGTGATTCAGTGTGCTTTTTCTACAGTATGATCATAATTGCGAGAAATATGCTACTTTAAGTTCAGCCACCGACAGTGTTCTCTAATTTCTGCATTGAAGAAACTGTAACAGGTCGCAGAACTTCGAGGTAGCCAGTCAGGCTACCTCGAAGTTTCTCTCTACATGTTTCTCACTTTCATGTCAAAGTTTTCCTCGTGATGTCACTATGCCTTTGCCATTTATGTAACTTAGCCAATTAGCTGAGATTGATGAAGAAGAGCTTTGTTTGAAGAGATGTCGTTTTCACACTTCCATAGTATATTCTTTTCAAGAAATTCTGCTCTACACCAGTCAGAACGGCAGCAAGTCTTCATCTGACTACTGTCAGATTGAAGTTGCTAACTATATCTAACAGGTAGTTCTGGTGAAAGATAATCAAGTTCTAGTACTCGTAAACCAAAAATATTGAACAGATGCAGGTGCTCCGAAAAACATAGATGGTTTTCATGAATTGGTTCATCCAGCCTTGAAATTTGCAACCTTCAGTCGTTCCGCTGACAACGTAGACATCGCAGATAAACTAAGACTGGGTTGTTCCTGGTTGCATCTGCAAGATCTTCTTGTGCTTGATGCCTTTAGCTGGTAAAACAGTTCGTTCATATCTAGAGATAACTTTGCTATGTTCAGTAGGTCTTCGACTGCAGCACTTTCCAGCATATTTTGTAAGAACACAGTAAACCTGCAAAATACCGTGAGAAAATTATGCTCTGAGGTGAAGAGCATTCAGCATACCGGTTGCCACGTCGTTGCATCTATATTAACAGCTGTAAGCTAAATGACGCGTTCTTGCAAGCCAGTTCCACACTGGGAGTCGACTATCAGGTCCTCTCATGTACCCAGAGCATAGACTGATCTGCAAAATTAAAAAAATTAAAAATTAAATTTGTATGACGAGTCCAGACTCCACGTATAGTGAAGTCCGTTCCGCCAGGATGCTCCTGTTGTGATCGCAGGAAAAGGTGAATCGGGCCATCTCACAGGAGAAGACTTGAATCTTTTGGGCCTCAGGCAGGGGATGATCAAGTTTGGGATGCTGTTATCAAATTGAGAAGATTTCTGAGCCCTTCGTTTTCTTCTGTAGGGCTCGTGCTTAAAGTGATCAGCGAAAGTCTAGAACCGTTCGTGAATCGCATTTCAGATCGTTTGTTGGTAAGGGAATCATCACTGATGGCGCACACTTTCATGATGTCAAGTGAGGAATAAAGTTGATATTCTATATGCGATCGATCGTCAGAGTAGAAGCGACAGCATCCTAAGATCTAGTAGCTGCCATTGAACGTTCGTGCCCGGTTTCCAAAGTAAAGTATAAATTCATCACTTTCTCACTCGCGGAGATCCCGGTAAAAACATCAATCAGCAACTAGCAGTGCAAAGCCAAACCAGATGATGTTCATGATCACAAGCCCCAGTGCTATGAGTTGCATCATGATAATAAATCTTGAAGGTGAAGATCACCCAGAACTAAAACTGTAACCGAAACTATCATGAACCAGAGACCCGACGCATAAACTATTGTCACTTGCAGTCAATGTGCACAAAAGCTAGTGTAAGACTGGCATCGGTACATCCGATAGCTTCCTATTTTCCTGGTTACAGTTAGAATCGGACTTTATTAGGAATTATGACACGTAGAATGAGCTTAGGGTCCAAGCTTAGGGCCAAGAGCCTTCCAAACTCCAAAAGCTAAAGGAATTGAGGAACTGTTCTAGAAGACGGGATTTCTTCAAGTGTCCTTGAAACTTCTCTACAGCATTTGACTCAAGTCTAATATTTCATATGTAGGCTGTCTTCCAGACCTCATACCATTTTGTGCCCAGATTTTACTTCCTCGTATCGGAGAAAGCAGTAAATTTACTTCTCTATACCCCAAATATTAAATTACTTCCCCACATCCGAGTCTGAAAAAATGGTGACTGCAGCGGTATCAGGTTCACGGAAAAATGATATTTTGGGAACTTTGGTTGGGGACAAGGGTTCCCAAATTATATTGCTCGCGAAAGAACCTGAAACTTGTAATGAACAGGCAGTTCTGTTCAGAAAATCTGAGTTTTTCCAAAATCTCACAACTGACAGTGTCTCGGATTGGAGAGCCGGCTGATCAATAATCATGAGCTTCAGATGGACACCCTGATTTGCTATCTGTGAAGAGGATGAGTATCTGCAGAAGTGACCGTTCATTTTATGATCTGAAGTGTGAGGTGTGAATTACGGATGGACCCCTGATTTTCCACTCGCGAAGAGGATGATTGTATGCACAACGTGACCGATTTTTGACACACTATAGAGAGTGGATTTGCGGACTTCATCACTTAACCAATCTAGATCAAATAATTGAAGTGGTTATTCTAGACATGTGGGAAAGAATCGCCTGCTATAGCTGGATCGGGATCCTAAATAATAACACTGAAATATTGAAAAGATCCATGTGCGATTTAAGTGTACCTCGCTCCACGCGTTTAAGGTGCTTTGCGTCTTGTGCTAGTGCATATTACTTCTAGTTAGTTTGAGGATCTCGTGGAATGCTGGGATGCTGAAACACAGTGAAAATCCCCTTTTTGTAAGATTCTTGTTCAGAGAACAATGCATAAGGATCAGATCGGTTTTCGCTACGCAACGAACTTGCAAAAATCGGTCACGTTGTGCATACAATCATCCTCTTCGTGTATGTGTGGGAAACACAATGGCCAACGTATGGCCTGTCTTAAATTTCCATCCTGTCTTTAACTCACAAAGGTTGGACATGGAGTTGCCTTATAAGATTCTTCTGGAAGTTTGAAGATTCTTCCGCTCAAAGAGTTTTCTAAAATCATATTACATGGTTCTATCTGTCACTGACTATACTGCAGACAAATCTATGTCTTTATTTTTATTTGTAATGAAAGAAGAAAAGATTTGATAAATTATCCTTATAACAACAAATTGTTCATGACTTTCTTGTCACATAAGCAGTTGATTGTTTTTTAGCCAGAGATGTTTACGCAATTTGTGTACAGTGTTCTACCTCAAAAGAAATAACTTTTTGGCTTCATCGACATAAATCAGACATTGAAGTCGAGTATTATTGTCTGAGGATTCAAAAGATATCGATATTTTTTTTCCCAATGTATAGAATTCTTTAAGAGATCTCAGAAACTTGGTAACACTTAATATGAAAATTTCGTGCATCAAAATTTACTTGAAATATAAGGAAATAATACTTGGGACAAAGTATTCAAATATATTTCTCCTTCACTATATTGTTACATACTCCTCGCCTACAATGATTCGCAATACAACTCGTAGCTGGAACTCCACAAAAAAAATCTGAATCATGTTTGCAGAAGAATAAGTCAGAATCTTAAAGACTTCCCTGGAAAATAAGAACGTTTATGGTTAAAAAAATGTTAACTCTTCAACTCAATGATTGTGTCGCCAAGGTGGTAAGGTTTTCAAGGTATCTGGGAATTTCATATGCATTCAATATATTTGCAAGGCTTAATTTCTTATATAGATGAGGTTTTTTCTCTTAAACTCGGAGTCTGGAGAAAGACAAGGGACAAATAACTGCACATACTACATTTACACATTTCATGACCTAAGTCTGTATTCAAAACTAAAACTGCACCTGTTTCTAAACTTAGTCTAGAATTTGTGTACCTTACGGTGGTGGTTACCTTACTCTTATCCACAAACGACTGATAGAATCGAATAAAATGTCTCGTAGACTCACTGCTTTTCTGGAGTCGACTTTCAGTACCATCGGAGATACATTCAAACATCTTTGGACTCATTTGTGAAAGCTTGGAGTTTCGACTGCCATATGTGAGCACCTTTATTGTGGTGCAATGTTGATTGCATGCCATATTATTATTTGCAACTGGTAAATCGCGAGCCACGGTTCTCACCTACCATATCATTTGAAGCTCAAACTAGTAAGCTGACAAAGTCTGTTACAATTTTTCTTCATGCTAATATCGGAGGATTGCCCATATTGGAGGTCAGATGCAATATTCAGAGGGTCCTAAAAAGCAGAAATTACAACTCCATCGCAACAGCCTTCGATGTGCTGCTCGAAAGATAATCATAATTGGGCTTTTTTGTCAGAGAACTATACTGATCTGAACGTCAGATTTTACTGCAAACCTTGCGAATAACTCCGTCAGAGCCTGTTTTGACGTTGATGAGCCCCATCTTCACCATAGCCACACCGAACTTCTCGAAAAAAGGGACGGTTGGAAATCTGCCCAGAGTCCTCACCAGAGCTGCAGCGGAAGGGTTCGTGATCAGAGCACTGTCTGAGATGAACGCCGCTTCGCCGTTCAGAACATTATCGTAGTAGTTGCTGTCGAAAAAGTTGCCTCCCATGCTTGAGTCCAGCTCGATTTCCGTTTGACTCTGAGGCTGGTCGATCGGACACAGCGCTTTGAGCTTGGCCGCATATGCTGGACTCATAGCCGGGTCGGTCTGAATCGTCGGCGAAAAATTCCACAGGCGACGATATACTACGCCGCAGTGTGAAACTCCGATCGTGTGTGCACCTATCGAGAGCAAATGCACGAATCCAGCTTAGATTTGACCCAGCAGCAACTCCGGTGTATCATGCATGAACAACGAACGCTCACGGAACTAATCTAGCTCATCCACTGCATGACCACCAATCATAAAAAAACCAGCCCTTGATCGCCATCGAGCTTACTGCAAGTAGCTAGTTCCGACGTTCTCTGCTCGATCAAGGTGCAACGACAATATGGTTGAAGTTCCTGAGACAGGAACGAGACAAGCATTCGTCGAATCCGTCCTCTGCTACTATAGGAGTGATGTCTTATGGTGAGTTTGGTCAGTTTGGAAACATATCTGTGATATATGATGATGATCCTTACCTGAAAGGACTACCAAGTCTTCTTCAGACAATCCCTGATTGGCGAAGCTGGTGACGAGTTGAGTGTAGTTGGCAAAAGGGCTGGGCAGGTTGGCATTCGCCTCAGATGCAAGCGACACCGAGCCGTCTCTACGTCCGAGTGGAACCGGGAAATAGAGTCCTCGAGACTGCGCAGTCAGATTGAATTAGACGAATTTCAAGCAATCTCAACCTGTTGAATCCTATGAAAAGCGATGCGTACACATTGCTAAATATGAGCTCGATTCCCGAGCCCTTGGTAACTGGAGATTCCAGTTGCAAGAGTGTCGAGTACGTTGTCGAGATAGTCGCTTGTGATGGGAGCTGAAACTTATGAAGGGCGAAGATTGATTTCAGTGTGCAGGCTGGGAGGACTCATACGACGTACCAGTTGCAGAATGTCGCGAGCGGCCAGAGCAATGATGTCCGCACACGAAACGATACCCGGACAACTTTCCTCGAGCTTTTCTTTCGCTAACGCTATCACATCGAGCCCCTTGACGGAATTTCTGTTGGGAAAACCATCCAGTTCTGCCACATTGCCCGGTGTGGACTCGATCAATATCGATGAATCGCATCCCTGCAAGCAAATGCTTTCGTGGCTCAAGATTTCTCAAATATGAAATTTGCATCTATTACGTTCTGATCAAGTCTCGACTGAATAGTTGTTGATTCCTGGCCGTCATAATTCACAATGTGGTCAGCTAGCAACACTATTGACTGCTGCATTATTCTGTGTGATCTTAGATGAGGCTATCCTTATCTGTGACTAAATCACACTTGAAAATAGCCTTGGATTGGCTGATCTGTGCAGCAAGGACGTTTGCTTACGTAAAGACATGATTGATTTATGTTGCATGGTCAAATAATATCAAAAATTCTAGGAATGTGAATTATATGAACAGAAAAATGAAGATAAGCTTTCCTACACTTTACAGCTGTTGATGAGTGAAATCCTTCGATAAGAAAATAAGAGTTCAGAAACTAGAACAGCAGCAATTACTTTAAATGCAAAGTCCAATGTCCTCATGTCACATATGCTTCGACCTACCCGGACGAAGCAATCATGGAAAAACAGTCGGATGAGCTGTGCTGGTAGGTTCTTGTTCAATGCCAGCTGTCGAACTAGAACATTGAAGACTATAATTCTCGCCTGTGGACAGGTCCTGAGGTAGAAATCCTCGGTTAAGTTTGGGTGGGTAGGATAATTCGTAGCTTGCGCATTTGTTGCCAGGAAAATTGTCAAAATCATGGTCACCACCAGCCATGAACTCCATAGTGCTGATGCCTTCTCCATTGCTGCTTACCTGGCTGGGATGGAAAGTGGAGATTCAGACAAGAAGGAATAAGACGGAATCTCAAGAACTATATGAGAATTAACTCAATTATCTGAGGCAAGTCGTGGTCCATACAAGTACAAGAAAGCTGTATAAATCACTCGTGATGCAATGATTTATTACGTTTCCAGGGACTGAAGCACTGGCAGTAATCTATCAACTTCAATACTCGTGAATGATGGGAACAATGTCCATTCGTGTAAATATTGGACGCCAAGCATGCCAGCAAGACCTGTACTTGAAGTTTATCTCCACATTGTTGGCATCAGGCAAACAGATAATCACATATTAGTAGCTGCCTGAGATCCAACCGTGGTCATAATTTCGTTTCAACATACCTGTCAAATGCAAAAGTTCGGTATGGTCTGCAGCTCACCACTGCTAATCACGGTTGATGTACGAGGTACTTCTGATAGAAGATTACGGACAATTTATATGTGTGCTCCTCGCAAGTGATGCCTGACATCTTGTGGTCCCAACTGACAATTATGTGGTTGACTGGCGTCGGAAATGAGTATTGAGAAGATCTTCCCACAGTGTTCACTGCTCAAGACACGTGATTGACATGGGTTTGGTCAAATGTTACTCAAAATGTTGCATGTGCTATACAAGGCGACAATCCCAGTTCCAAGCAAGTGGGCTTCAAGCTGGGATGTGAATTCAGTATTGCTGATTTGACATTAATACAGGTGTCCCGCTCTGGATGTATGCGAACATCCCTGCGTTCAATTTTCGCAAAAATCTTAGATAGCATATGGTGTACAGAGATCAAGCATTTTAGCTCCTGTCGGTATCTTTCGGACAGTGATCTTCGCAAAAGATGAGATAGGTTCTTTTCTTGGTAATTACGAAGCCCGCCCTGGATCTTCAGAATAGCCTTCTAGGCAGCGCTTTACAATGCATGCAATGTAATTGTGACGGTGGTGTCATACGACAAGGATTGCCCTTCCCCGTGACAACCTTCTTCAGTGTTATCCATATCACTACATTGCTAATTGCACACCACATTTTAGGTGTACTTGACTATACTACTTGGTTACATTACGAATTTGTTTCAAAAAGATCACTTTTCACACGTTTAGCTCGCTTACGACAAAATCAGACTTTTTTATTTGAATAACATGCACGTCTTCAGATCTCATGCTGAGAAAGCATGTTATTCTGGGAAAAGTTCCATCTGATCGATCTTCTTATCCGCTTGGACACATCTATTGTGGACAGTAGGTTTTATTGCATACGCAGATATAGGAAAAGGCGTATGAAACTATTGTTTTCGTGATTCAATTATTGTTCTTCCTGAATCTTTACAATTCCTTCGAAATTTTGGAGTATCCTTCAAGTAACCAGATTTTTGGCTGTTGAAGAAGTTTCGGTCTAGTTTACAGACAAGGAAGACTGAGTATCTCATAAACACTTCAGAAGCAAACGGATTTCCACTGCTTTTGATCTGAAATCACATACGAAGATTCCCAGCACTCGAGGAAGGCCTGGAGCACTGGTTCCTGGTATGCCTCTGAAAGTTGTTCGTACCTTGGCAGGATCCGTTGAAACTTCGGACGGGACTTTGGCACAGAAAAGCTCAAAGACTACTATGAACACGAATCATACTCAGAATGGGAGAGGGAGGCATGGGGTAGAGTTGGAGGCGAGCCCTCAAGAAGCATGTACCGGGGCGAGGGGTTGGGAGCATGCCCCGATCACACTAATGCATATAAATTAAATGCTTATTTAAGATTATGATTGATATATGAATATTGTTACCCAACATTGAAGTGATTTTCTTTGTCACTCTTTAAAAAAAAGTATATTTCTTTAGTTCACTTCATCACATGTCTTGTTTGAGTAAACCAATGGTCGTCTCATTATCTTTAATTTTTTCACTTTCGTTGATATTCAAATTGCACTGCTTGCAAAATTCATAAGGTTAGTGATAGTTCATCGTTTACTTTATATTGTTATAAATTCAAGGTTGCAAGATTAGGTTCATTGTTCTATAGGTTTTACAATCAAGATGTACGACCCAGTAGATCAATCTAGAGTTTTTACATGTGTAAATTCAAAAATACATGTATATATAATTTTTCATATATATATACAAAGGGCATGGGCAAGCCTTTAGAGATTGAAAGGCACAGTGGGCATGCCTCTGTGACTCCAACTCTACATGGGAGAGATGAGTTCCATCTGAAATCAGAACCTATTCGATTCCCCTGTCTCCATAATTTTGTTCTTTCGTTTTCCTTCAATCTGATCTGCCCTTTCATCATGTCCCAAGTTGCCTTCAGCGTGAACCATGCGAACGTCCATTCAGCATCTCTACTGGCTGACTTTTATGCTACTTCACTCTGCACGTGGAAATTCTCCACAAGACTTTTTCTGAGTATCAAATGACACCATGGTCAACTTCAAAATTCACAGGAAGGATACACATTCGTTGACATGTAGAAACGATAGGACAACCAGCTGCAAGATCGTGGCAACTTGCACAGGCTGCTGATCCGTGTGAATAGTTGTAATCTAAATTGCGCATTCTTGTAAAGAAGTTCCTCTGAAAGAAACAACAATCGAGCCGTTTCACCTCCAGATTACCTCCAGTCCACCGCACACCTTCTTTCAGAGCAATCTTAGCTTCTTACTTAACCCGATCCAGTCATCCGAAGAGGAAAGACCGGAAATCATCGTGGGAGGACTCCAGATGCTGATCATGAAGCTCACACATCAATAATGGTTGATTTGCAAACCGTAAAGCGAGTGTTCATGACCTTTTGAAAGTTTGACTTCTTGCCCAGAGTATCAGGCTTCAAGACCAATACCAAAAACTCATATCACGCCTGCTTGTGTTGTTGTGTTGTTGGACAGCTTGACTGCAGAATTGGCTCCATATGAGCCTGGCACCATGCGAGCAACAGAGATTGATATCTACTTCACAGTACCACTAGTTGTACGAATTCAGGACAACAGTACCTGTAGAGTGCTGTACCAGCAATGTTTGTGTGACGATAAAATTCCACTATATATCATATAATGGAATTGCATTATAGCATTATTTATTATATGCACATCTTTAGAATCACATTCATTCTCAAGCTTCAGTGGGCCATTCAACCATGGAACGCCAATAAAAGAAAAAGAATCTATAAACTTTCTTCAAGTGTGTTCAGTCGAGCTGTGTAAGAATTCAGATGCTCTAGCTTGAAATTGATGATCTATGGACTTAACCGAAGCCAGAAACTTTGTTCGCAGAAGCTTGAGAACATGGGGTGATGGCGGAGGCTTCTATTAGAGGCACGCAGCTGTTTTTTTCCCTGACAATGGAGACCTTATGTGCGTAAGGTTTATGTTTTCTCGTCTCTCGACCTTACATTAATATCGTAGATAGAGACTTATTTTATTACCATTCTGGGACATGAGAGTTTGATATAAATATAAACTAGAAAATCAAAGCTTATTGAGACAAAACATTTAGAGACCATTAAAGAAAAATTAGGACCTAGTTATATATTTCGATTATATGACTTTTGAGGAAAACTAGTAAATGAAGATTGACAAATATTGAGGTTACGAAGAGACCTTTTGACCTTTGAATACTTTCTTGGTTAACATTGTCATATGATGATAAGTACCTTCAGTCGAGTAAGGAACTGCAACCCGATCAAGACCTCATTTTTAGTTTGCGTCTCAGTTTGCTTTTTTTCCGCTAATGTTATCATAATTTGATGAATTCAGTAAAAAATCTTACTTTGAAACAACTCTGCCTACGAAAATGGAACAGAGGCGGCTACTGCCACAATAGCAGTGATTCTCAACGATGACATTGTCAAAATATTGCCACACCTGTCCTTTATCGGGCCTATTTTCCTTCCGTGTGATTGTTTTCCAAACGTGGTATTGGTCTTATAACTTGGTTGCATTTTCGCTATTTTGACAACTTTTGATTTTATTGATGGTATCAAATTTATTTGAGCTAAAGGCGTTATTTTTTACTTGGCAAATAAAAATTCTAAATTTTACTTGATAAATGATTATTCTAATTCTTGATAAAAGTTACACTAAAATCTACATATCAATTTGATTTTTTGATGATATGTGGATGTACATTTTTACCACCGTGTGTATAGCCATCTCTTGAATATTTTTCTACTTTTTCTCCACACTTAGGCATCCAATGATTTTTTTAAACTGTTACCTTTGAGCATAAATTTTAATTCACTTTCTTTAAAAGCATATTTAAAATGTTCATCATAATTCAAAATTAAATCTTAGATTTCCCGATCTCTCTGAGTATCATTTCACCCTATCTCAACTTACATTGCTTCCCTTGTGCACTTTGGGTCGAATACATACTTTTCATTTACTAATTCATCATTCATATCAAGAAAGAAAATGCCAATGTCTTGTTGTAAAATCTACAATCTCTATGGAGTGATAGAATGCTAGAACACTTCCAAGTCCCCTGTACTATACCATATTGTTAGTGTGAGCCTAAACTCCCCACCTTTCAGCGTTTGTAGCCCATGTGGGGGTTCGAGCTCCCATAATCTAACTTCTCTGATCTCAAACCATGTGGTAAAAATGCATTCAAGACAATGAGATCATGAATACTCGTTTTGCCACAGACAAATTGTCCAGAACTGACACTAACAACTTGATGTCTGCTATTTTCACAAGAGCAGCAGACAAGCTCTTCGTCACATAAAGATCTAACCCAACTATGGGTGACTTTCTCAATACTACAGCCGATGTGGCTTATCCTAGAATGAATGCCACATCTTAGACACCCTGCCTCGGACACAGTCAGGTGACACACCAGCAGCACCAGGTGACACCCTTCCTAACAGCAACCCTCACATCCAGGGAACATGATTCTACTCTCAACACTTGCTCGATTCTTCCTCTTAGTGATCAACTCAGTCTCAGCCCAGCGATCCTCTTGGCCGTCGCACACACTCTTCCGCTCAGCCCTCCGGCTACACTCTCAGCGACTCCACGCTTTCAACATCCTCGCCTTCAGGGATCTCACCCTCCTATCAGATTCCACCCACAATTTCGAGTATCAGATTTCAGTCTCACACCCTCAGTTCCCACCTTTGATTTCAGTCCCACTCCCAATTCCTATTCAGAGTTCGGTGTCAAATCCTCAGCTTTCACCTTCAATTACTGTCCCGCTCCCAATTCCTACTCAGATTTCAGTGTCGATTTTCCAGTTTCCACCTTCAGATCCCACCAGATTCCTTTCTTAGATTCAACTCTCCCTTTTCAGTTTCAAATTGAGATCCCGACTGTCAGATTTCAGTCTCAGATTTCACTTCACTCTCAGCTCCCATTCTCAGATCTTCCACTCTGATTTCAGCTCCCACTCACAGATTTTACACTTCAATCTCAGATTCCACTCACAGATTTTACACCTCAATCTCAGATCCCAATTTAATTTCACTCTCAGATACGACTCTCCACCCACGAGAGTTTGCTTCCTCCTACTTCGAACTCTC